AACTCTTTTCAGGGATGGACCCATTGGATACCAAAAGTGGTTTGGATAATCTGTCCAACTATTCTTGATAAGTTATCTGAATAATAATAAAAAACTCAACAGAAGAGGTAACCATTTAAGTATTTTATTATTAATTTTGAAGATGTTTGCCATACTTTTATGTTACAGAAGAGTAAGGTACGAAAATTTGAGGAACTTTTTTTTAAAAATTGCATCAGGATCAGAAGTGTAGGTCTTATATCTGACTATTGGCCTGAGATTTCATTTCTAGAATTCTGAAATCCAAAAAGCTCTAAAAACCAGAATCATTTCTGTTTTGTTTTTCCAATTTTTTATTGTGGTAAAATACACAATAAAATTTATCCTCTTAACCATTCTGAAGGTATAATATCCCACCATCACCATCATCCATCTCTAGAACTCTACATTTTATAAAACTGCAACTCTGTACCCATCCATTAAACATTTCCCCAGTCTCTGTACCCTTAGCCCCTGGCAAACACTGCTTTGTTTTAAAAAATAAGTTTAGAATTAAAACTAAGTTGACAGCTAAGCCTGACTCAAATTGATTAATTTTACTCCTGATTTACTCCCTATGTGGTATGTATTTGAGTATATTCATATATTTTGCTTCAGAAATATTAATATATTTAATTATTAGGGACTTCCCCAGATCCCACTGGAAATATAAAGTTGTTCTTATATGTATTACTTCAACAAGCAAACACTTTCTGAGTTCTGAAACATATCAGACCTCTGGGATTTGGTTAGGGATTGTAGGACCTATAATATACTAAGGTTACTAGTATTGTTTTATTATTTAAAATTCTGTTTTAGTTTAGCTGACCTTAAGATCTGAAAATTCATTTTTGAAAAATATAAACTCATTCAACATTGTAGACATTTGCTTAAATCCCCCGTTTTCAGGAAGCGTGTTCAACCTGTCTTAAGCCCCTCTTGGAGGATCCTTTATCTTTACCTTCTCCAAATGATACCCCTGTAGGTGTGGAGGAGGGGGTGTGTGTTTGCTGGGGGGAGTATGCTGGGATCAAATCTAGGCCTAGGCCTTGTGTGTGCACTACCACTCACATGTCCCAGTCCTGATGTCTGTTTCTTAAACAGATTTTGAACTCTGTTTTGGTTTAGAGCCCTACCGCCATCTCCAGATCTTCCAATTCCTGGGATTTAACCACTGCCTCCCCAAACCTCCCAAACTAACCTTCTTTACATTTTAGTGTGGGAGGTTTTAAGGAGGGGGTGAAAGTTAATGCTTATGTTCAATCTGCCATCTTTATTAAATATTTATTTATTTGCTTTGTTTAAAGTAACTCAATATTTTCTGTATGTTCATTTTGTATACTTTCTGTATGTTCATCTTTTCTTGACAGAGACCCTAGTCTTCAGTGTTTGGTGGTCCTCTTCAGGCTCCTAGAGCTATTGTGAAAGTGTACTTGACTTTGGCCCAGAATGTGATTGTTTTAGCACAGATCTGACTGGTATTAGTGTTGTGACATATTCTGCATTACTTTTTTTTCTTGTTTGTCTTCCCCTAATGTCTTCCTCAGGCTTCTAGAGGAAGGATGAGGAAAGAGCCAGGAGGGAAGCAGAATCAGGGGAAGGGGAAGGACAGCCAATCAGGAGTGGGACTTTGGCATTTGACAAATTATTGCTTTCTTATATACTTTCAACAGGAAAGCATCTGAGGCTTTCTGGTTAATATATTAGAATCTGCATCATCATAACTATACCTAAGGATAGTATTAGAAATATTTAATGATGGGTATGTTGTGGGCAGTGACCAGTTATGGAGCACCTTTATGCTGTGCTGATGTATATATATATATCCAGGCTTATACTTGGGTATAGCATGCCCCAGCTTTCTACAACTATCTCCCGCTTTTATTGCCTTTCCCTAATTTCTGGAATGGAGCTTTAGAGAAATGGGTTTGGGCTATTTTTCCTCCTTCCAGGCTCCCTCCATGAAGCTTAAACCAAATGTCCCTGTGCATAGTGGCAATATTAGATGCTGTGGAATTGGAAGGTAATGGTCCTTCCCATAGGGGAAGTCTCTGTTATAAGAGTGAAATATGGAATTCAGAAGTAAGTGTGTGCGTGTGTGTGCCCGCGCGTGCACTCGTGCATGTGTGTATGGTGTATGTGTGTGTCTTGGGGGTGTGGGTATGTTATCAAAACCAGACTTAGCCAAAGGAGATTTCTGTACTGGCAGATTTATCCATTAGTTTTTCTTACCTCCCCTTCTCCTTCTCTTCCTTCTTTTTTTTTTTTTTTTGAGATAGGGTCTCATTATACTCTCAAATAACTGGGACTACAGGTGTACACCACTGCACCTGACTTCAAGTTTATTTTCTTTATGTCCATAATAGTAATGGTTTCTAGTGTACAAAGGTGAGATGTGGCAGTCGTTACATGATAGAAAAATGGACCCTAGAGCTGAAAAGCTGGTTATGTAAACAGAGTTTACTAATGAGTGTTTTATTATAAGTATTCTCTAAAAGGTATCCACCTATCTGGAGACTGTCACATAGTTGGACTGTGGAGTTGTCCATCAGATGATCTGAAAACAGCTAACAGCAAGGCTGTTCTCAGATCTGTAAGATTACGATTACTTACTCTGTTTATTCCTCACCTGACACTATATACTATCTGGTTCAGTGTTTTTTTTTTTTTTTTTTGTGGTGCTGCAGGTTGAATCTACAGTGTCATGTATTCTAGGCAAGTGTTTTACCATTGAGCTATACCCCAGACCTCCTTTTATATAATATTTTGAAATAGGGTCTCACTAAATTGCCTGGGCTAGAATTTGTGGCCTCAGCCTCTGTAACTGAATCAGTCAATCTTTAGTAAGAGCTAGTCTCAGGCTTATCAACTAAAAAAATAGTTCAGGTTTTCATATAATTATTGAGCACCTTCTGAACATCAGGCATTGTGTAGCTCCTGGATGACAAGAATAAGTAAAACACTTTCCCTGTCGTTGAAATCATAGTCTAGTGGGAGGAAACAGATACACAGTTAACTTTAAACAATGTGGTTTTGAGGAATAAATCTGGGAAAATAGAGCTTGTTGACTAGTTAAATGTGGGAATTACGCCCAAAAGAAAGTGTCTGGGATCACTTCCAGGTACTGCTGACCGTTTTCTTCTCCTTGAAACTCTCTCCCTCTGAGCTTCCAAACACCTATGTTAGTGTTCAGTCTACACTGCTGATCATTCCCTCATCTCACCTTCTCTGGATCTGCTTCAAGGGCACAGTCCTTAAATGCTGGTACCCTCAGCTGTCTGTTTCTATTCATAGGGGCCAGAATTTTCAAAGCTCTGTTTCCAGCTCACCTTTCTCTTTTGAGCAATACCTCATATTTCCCACCATCTATCAGGTAACTCCACCTGTCAGATACATTGCACGATCAGTGTATCAGAACCTCTTGCTTCCAAAGCTGCATGTCTTCCTGCTGCCATGACACAGCCTGAGACCTCCCCCGCCCCCGCAGAGGAGAATAGTAATACAGTAGATAAGAAGTCTCATGTAGCACTGTCTAAAAGAAATATAATGCCAAACACATATATAACTTATACTTTATAGTAACCACAATAAAACAGTGAAAAGAAACAGATAAAGTTTTAATGTTAATCCATTATATCCAATGTATTATCACTTCAGTGTGTAATCAATATAAAAATCAATGAGTTGGGCTCAGTGGCCCATGCCTGTAATCCCAGCTGAGATTGGGAAGCTGAGGCAGGAGGAATACAAGTTCAAAGCTGGCTTCAGCAAAATCAAGGTGCTAAGCAACTCAGTGTGACTCTGTCTCTAAATAAAATACAAAATAGGGCTGGGGATGTGGCTCGGTGGTTGAGTGCCCCTGAGTTCAATCCCTGGTACTAAAAATAAATAAATAAATAAAATTATTAATGAGATTTTTTTTTCATTTGGAACCTTAGGAATTCATTGCCTATATTAATCTTAATTTGCACTAGCTACATTTTAAATGCCCAGTTGACAAGACTTGGAGCTCCTGTATTGGATAAAGAAGATCTAGATGAAAAAGGTGGTATTAAGGCTGGGAAAAACACTTTTTTTTTTGTATTTATTTATTTATTTTTTTTGAAGTCTATATTTCTTATTAGTTGTTCAAAACATTACAAAGCTTTTGACATATCATATTTCATACATTTGATTCAAGTGGGTTATGAACTCCCATTTTTACCCTGTATACAGATTGCAGAATCACATCGGTTACACATCCACGTTTTTACATACTGCCATACTAGTGTCTGTTGTATTCTGCTGCCTTTCCTATCCTCTACTATCTTCCCTCCCCACCCCTCCCCTCCCATCTTCTGGCAAAACACTTTTGTACAAAGTAAAAACTGGGGGTGCAGCTCAGTTATAGAGCTCCTGCTTTGTATGCAAGATGCCCTAGGTTCAATCCCAGCAACCCCTCTAAAAAATATAATAGGGATATATAGATTATAAATGTCACTATTGTTATGATTCATGTATATTTTCTGTTCTTTGTAGTTCCCCCTAATATTTAGAGAAGCCTTTGCAATTCCATGGTTTCTTAGCAGTACTAAGAAGAATCAAGAAAATATATGTCCTGGGCTAGTTTTGTGGTAGAATACTTGCCTGGCATGTGCCAAACTTTGGGTTTGATCTCCAGCACTCCCACCCCCACGATACTTCTTCCATGCTGGGAAGGCATATTTTCCCCCAAGGGAGAACAGTTCATCCTCCTCCCTCACTTACTCTTCCCCCACCCTCAGAGGGGAAATCCCAAGGGGGAATCCCAAGGGGAGGTGAAGTTCCCAGAACACAGCCCCTCCCGATTTGGACAGCCCCTTCCTGAAACTAACTCTGGAATTTCTGGATTTTGGTTTAGAAGGAAATCACTTCCCACCCACCCCCCCGCCCCCACAATTCCTTTTTGTAATTTTCATACCTTATGGTGCCAGAAACAAAATTTTTTTCACAATAATTATTATAGCCAAGGCCACCATATATCCTGATTTTCTAGGATGGAGATTTTGAATATTTTCTCTCAGTAAACAAACAGGCACCCTGTTGCTTTTGAGTTTGAAATATTGGAGAGTCATTATGGTGGTCAACCAATGGGTCCTCACCAGCTCCTGGAACTTAGAACTTAGTTCCCTGTAAAAGCCAGTAGACTCTGCCACTTTCCTCTGGGATCTGAAACAGTTCCCAGAGAGGCTATCTCTTTTTTTGTGGGAGCAGATAGGTGCCTGGGTGGTATACTTGTTTCTAATTCAATATGATTCCTAAGGTGTGCTTTTCAGAGGAAGAAGTGATTTAAAGTTATGTACAGGCAACAAAGCTTTCTAAGAATATTTTTGGCAGTCTGGTAAAGAAGATACTGGCCCTGGAAGAGTGTGTTAGCCCTTGGGACACAGCCAGATGTTGGTGTACATAAATTTGAGGAGACAATGGCCTTCACTGTTACTATTCAAAGTGCTACTCACATTCTTTTATCGTCAACAAAAATTATTTCACTTTCAAGGTCTAGGCCAGTCGGAGGTGGAGTTGGGGGAGGGCTGTGACAGAAGGTTCTGACTTGTACAGTGGAGGCAGGAAATTGTCCTAGTGTCCCATTAGGCGGGTTCCCTGCTTTCTTCAGGGCAAAGGGCAGCGAGTGGCAGTAGGAGGCTGTAGGCAAAGCTAGGGTGTGCGTCACCTATGTTTTCCGGGCTGTCAGTCTCCCAGTGTACCCAGCTTTTCAGGTAGGGACGACCCCTCCCACGCAGAGCGGTTCCGGCGGGTGGGAAGGAGGGGCTGGGCTCCGAGCGCCCGCCCCTCCATCTATCACATGGCCGGAGAGTCACAAAAACAACAGCTTTGGCCAAGACCGTGACTTCAGGAAAGGGAACCCAGGGCCCTCGCAGACAGCCCCCTCCCCATGGAGGACAGTTTTCTTGAATCCTTTGGGAGGCTGAGCCTCCAGCAGCAGCAGCAGCAGCCGCCTCGGCCGCCGCCCCCGCGGGGGACACCTCCGCGCCGCCACAGCTTTAGGAAACACCTCTACCTCCTGCGAGGCCTCCCGGGCTCGGGGAAAACCACACTGGCCAGGTAATGACAGCGGCCTGGGCGCTGGTGCGCGGGCCCGGGGCCACTGAGCGCTACGGTCGGGCGCGCCCCTGCCCGGAACCCCTAGCAACGAGCGGCCCCGGCCCTGGTCAGAGCCCGGGTCGCTGCTGCCGACCCTGGGGACCACTGCCGCCTCTGGCGCCCGGGTCTCTGAGAGGAGGGCGCTCGTCTTGTTTGTGTTTTCCGCTGCGCTTCCCGGGGAGTACGGATTTCGGCACTGCGCCTTGCGCCAGTCCCAGATGGCACTGGCCCCTTCCCCACCTCCGTGCCCGGCCTAGTGCCAGCCCGGCCGAGGCCGCCTTCGGCGCCCCAGCCTCCCCAACCCTGGGTCTGGGAGGCCGGCAGGGACTCTTCGGGAAAAACCGGTGGCTACTGCAGAGAAAACAGCCGGGCCGCCAGTTAGCGCGCAGGCAGCAGTCACAGTGCGTCAACAGGCGTTTTAACCCCAGCGCATAAACGAGAGGGTTGCGGGGGCTGGGGATTGGGGCAGCAGTGGCCGTAGCCGGGGGGGCTTGTGGCCCGATTTGAAAATCTGGTGGATTCGGGCAGACTGTGTTGGCTTTGGCAGCTGTGAAGGAGCACAGGTGCACGGGGGAGGGGGGTTGACGGCGCCACCACAGAGCCGTCACCATGGGCGCCCAAATTCGATTACTTGGGAATTGCGTAAGCTGCCCTCTTGGTACCAGGTCAGCGAGAATTACGCGGGCTTATTGCCTGCTGCCACCTTGCTAGGCCTACGCTCCAGCCTGGACTCCCATCACTCTGCCTTGCATTTGCTCTTCAGCAACGTTGAACTGTTTATCTCCCGTAAACCAAGCTGTTTCTCTCCTTGCCTTGGCTGATGCTGGCCTGCTTGCCTGGCTTGCCCTCCGCCTCCCTTTGCCCAACTGATTTCTATTAGCCTTTTAAAAATTCAGCTGCCTTACCCATCAGTAGGTGCTCGTCTTCAGGTCTCTTTGGCATCCTGTTTACAGCTCTGTGACTGCGCTTAGTTTTTCACATGGTTTTGTTTATCCTTCTGTAAGTTTCTTGAATGTGGGGGCCATATCTTCTACCTCCATGCACATTGTCTAGCTCATAATAGGTATTCAACCACAGAAGTGGCCCCTTCCTCTCAACCATCTTGTTGGAGAGATAAGGAACTATTGAAGAATCAAGGTGGCCTACAGAGACATGATTTTGATGGTCTCTGGTAGTGATCTCAGGAGCAGGTCTGAATCCTTTGGACTTGAGGGAACTGACAGCTGCAGTGAGGTGCTGTCCGTTTTAATTAGGATTCTGGCTGACTTGTGTAGTAGAAGTCTTTAGTTAAAGAATATTGCTACATCATAGATTAAAGGGATTGGTGATTTGTGGAGGGTCACTGGTACCTTTTTCAAAGACAGAGACATTTTCCAGAAGGTCCTCTGTGGCTCCTGCATAGGCAGAGGATAGCAGTAGAGTGGGAAACCTCCTTGGAACCCAGCAGAATTTTGTTGTTTTGTGATACAGCCAGGGTGTCAAATCTTTAATTTCACTTTCATTTTGCTGGTCTGTAGTCTATCACACACTTAGTGTAAAAGGAGGAAGTAAACATTTTTGGCCAGATTTCTTAACTATTGGGAAGGGAAGTAATATAATCAGAGGAAGATGCATAGAACTGAACATGAGAGTTTTGGACCTCACATTCCTCATCTGTAAAGTGAATGGGCTGGCCTGAGCAGTCTCTAAGATCCCTTCTGGCTCTGAATATCAGGACTTTAATTCCTGATTTGACAAAGCAAAAGACATCAGGTAAGAGACCAGCTTGTTAAAAAGCATCTCTCTAGGGACAACTGGAGTGAGCACTGGCCTGGGAATCTGAAGAGTGTGCTTTAGATCCATTTTGTCACTAACTAGCTGGACAATCACTTAGCTTCTCTGGTTCTTATGTTCCTTATATGTGACTACTAAGAGGTGATTAGTTTAGAGGATTTATTGAAGATCTTTCTGACTCTTAATTTCCACTTGTTTGCTAATAATGGCTAGGTAAAGAGCCTCTAGCCTTGGGAGTCAATATGACATCATATTCAAATGCTGCCATTCACTAGCTTTGCTGTTCACTTAGCCCCTCTGAACCTCAGATTCCTCTCCTATTCAATGGGAATATCTGCTCTTTCTGCCTCAGAGACTGTGTTGTGAAAATGAAATTTATGTGGAAGGACTTTTAAAACTTTAAAGTGACATAAATTTTAAGAGATATTAGCTACTGTTCAAATTGTTGACCAGCTAAGCAAAATCTTCACTATGACTGGGGAGAAACCTGGCTCTGAAGTGAAGATTGCAGCTGGATATTGACTCTGACCTGTTCCATTGTGCTGAGCCTTGGCATTTCTGGGTCCAGAAGGGCCTTGGCACACTTTAAGCAAGGAGATAGGCCACCACTGCACAAGGAGGGAGGCCCACAGTGGGATCAGATGATGAGGAAGTCACAGATGTGGCCCAAAAGGAGCTGCTTTCCTACTTTTGGGAGGGCAGGGGAGAGAAGAATGGCAAATTGTTTTAAAATACACATGTATAGAAAATAGTTAAACTGTAAGATTATCTTATGTATTTGTTGGATTCTGGGAAATTTACATTTTCTCTATATTATGTATTTTCCAAATTTTCTATAATAAACATGTATTTCTTAAAATAAAAAAAATTTTAAGAATTGGAGGGAATAAATTTTTATAAATGTGGGTTCATCTTTTTGTTTAACCTTTATTTATCATTTGATTTAAGAACTAATAAAAATCTTTTTGAAATTAGATTATGTCTTGTCTTCCAAATCAATGTTAGATTTCTGTATTTTTACTTGTATGTTTTTTATAATTTAAAATGGCTGGGATATGGAAAACATCTATTTAAATTCTTTGAAGTTTTTTTTTTTAAAAGTTGGGTTTATATGTTTTAAAAGTTTTTAAATACATCAGAGTATTAAAAATTAGTGTGCCCCCTAAAAATCTGTTTTATCACCTCTATTTTATATAAACATTGTTTTAAAAATAGGTTTTTACCACTGACCTGTAAGTTCTACTTCCAGGAATTCATCCTAAGGAAATAATTGGAGAAATGTGTGAAGATAGAGGAATAATGTTCATCAGAGTGTATTTTTTGTGTGTGTGTGTGCAATAGAAACAATGTGAGACAACTTAAATATGCAAATGTAGAGGATTGGCTTATAAGTCATACAGTCATTACTGGAAACTGATGTGTATTTGACCTATAAATATATTCTTCCCTCCTTTAAGTTAAAAAGTCTTTTATAAAGACAAACACACACACACACACACACACACACACACACACACACATCCCATTTCTGTTCAAAGAAAAAGGTCTGTATATATTTATTGAAAAATATCTGCTGATCTTTGTTTACTTTAGTTAGTGGGATTATGTTCTTTACCTTCCAATGAAGTTTCTGATTTTTCTACAAAATATATATTACATAGTAAATTTTTAAAGGTGAAAATTAAGGAACTATTACGTAAAATGTTTTGTTTAATGACTTGGCTAGATAGGATTGTATGACAAAGCTTTCATTACATAACCAAATAAATATATAATTCTCCATATAAAAAGGCTTTCCTAGGTTAATTTTCAGTTGGACATAAACTAAGAAACTCTTTTGTCCATATGGAGTTGGATTTTTAATGGCACTATATTTTATCTTTATTAATCTTATTAACATATGAATTGACACAGGGCACTTGATTGTTCACCTCCGTTTCTTTTTTATTAAAATGCGATTCATATTCTATTCATACATTTATTGTGAGAATTTTAGATACTATTGTAAACACAAACCCTATAATTATCTATGTGGAATAAGTATTGTGGAATTCATGTGCCTTATAAATACCAACTGTTGTTAATTATTAGTCACTAATCAATAATAACAAAGTTCACTGACTACTATAAGACTATAGCACTTGTTTTATGAGGCATATAATAAATACGATTAAAAGAAGTCACCTACACAAGACAAATTATTATTAAATGATTTATTTAATAATAAATCATTATTAACAATAATTAGTTCCCGACTGTGGGTAACTATGGTCCAGTGGGGAAATGAATGGCAACATGATCAGGAGATGCATTTATGGAATCCATGGATTTGTTGGATTCTGGAAAATTCATATTTTCTCTATTTCATGTATTCTCCTAGCCTTGACTAAAGGGAGGAATATATTGGCTAGGTAGCCCAGAGCTGGACAAAGGAATAGAAAGAAATAAGGTTTCCAATCCCAAGACCCTTTTACTCTCAACAGATGATCCAAAACTATCTGTTTCCACAGCTGATGTGTCAAACTTACTTTGGATCTGCACCTGTCCTTTACTTCTGCCTTAGCGAAAGCTTCTGTGGATAAGCCTCTGTGCTTCCCACTCTGTGTGTGTGTGTGTGTGTGTGTGTGTGTGTGGTGTCAAATATCCCCATTTTGGTCATTTTTATCTTTTTAAAGTCACTGGTATTAATGACATTTATGTTGTTGTGCAGCCATCACTGCTACCTATTTCAGATTCTTTTTTATCATCCCAAACAAAAGCTCTGTGTCCATTAAACACTGTCACTCCCTATTCCCTCTCCCTCCTGGCAACCTCTAATCTACTAGCTGTTTCTATGCATTTGCCTTTTCTAAGTGCTTCATGTAAGTGGATCATAAAGTATTGTCCTTTTGTGTGTGGCTTATTTCACTTACCTTAATGTTCTCAAGTTTCATCATGTTGTGGCATGTGTCAGAACTTCATTATTTTATGTTTGAATAAAATATTCCATTAAATGGGTATACCTCTAAATTGTCCTTTTGAAATGGCTATAGTAGAGGATAGCCTTTTTTTTTTTTTATATATAACCTTTTTTGAAAATTTAAAAGTCATCATTCTTTTATGTCAGTTTCCTGGATTTTTTAATCTTTCCATATAAACTAAAGTCAAATCTGGGAACTGTCCTTTGCAATGTTCTAGTTCCTTTTGGC